TGACTGGTCCCAGCTATTTCTGGTTGGGGAAAACCAAAAACAAGCCCTGCAGATAAAGCATTAATATTTTTTTTTATGGCCACAGCCCATCTTTTTCCAGTCCAAGGCTCCTTTCTCTCCATGGGCTCTGTTCTCCAGGAAGTTTCAGACCCATTTCACAGGAGTTGTTGGCATCCCAACATGTTTTTCCTAAGCAATGAATGCAGTTAATTTCTTTTAAAATCATTGTGTGTTGTCCCAGCTTCAGATGTGTAAGTGATTAAATATCCATTAAGGAGAAAAAGTGAAAAAGAAACAGGGAAATATTTACTGAGGGAAGAAGTAAAGCATTGTCAGGGCAAGGGACTGGCAGTGGGGGCTGCTCAGGTCATAAAGAGCAGCTTCCAACTGAAAAAGAAAACTGAAGAAGGGAAAAAAAGTAGGAATTAAATGTCCTGGCAACCAAGGACAGGCAGAGAGGATGATAAGGAAATGTTTTTAGTAGCAAGGGCGTTGTGAAAGATTTTGTGAGTGGGAGTCAAYTCTGCTGCAGAGGCACAACCAGGATAATCCCTTCCTCAAGGCTGGGAGGTGGAGACAGTAAAAAATGTGTCCTGCAGAGCCTTTGGAGAATTACAGTCATTACAGTAGCCTGRGTGATTTGCCAGGTAGAAATGAATTCATTTCTGGGGAGGTTGTTTGATTTTGTTTTTTTTTAATGCATAGTGATATTTTTGCCAGCTAGAAATACTAATGCATAAACAAAAGATTTCTCGGTGTGGATGGATGCAGCACCGATTTTTTTAATCCCCCTACTGGCCTGGTAATCACAAGATGGGGAAAAAGGCTATTTCTGCTATTTATTCATCTTCTCAGAAAGCCTTTTTCATATCCTGGCTGTATGRTAAAAGCTGTTAGTGTTGCCAGGCTGGCTGTACCTTCTGTGTTTGTAAGTGTGCATGTCTTATGCATTTTGCAATTTGATTTTTTTCTCATCACTTTATTTTATTTCTCCTCATTTCTTTTTATTTATCTGCTGGGTTTCAAGCCAGCTTCTCATTTAGCTGCACCTCTGAGGTATTATTTGTTGGTGGTTTGGGGTTTTTTTTTTTGCAAGGGTTTATCTCTTCACGCCTTGCCTAACTCTGCTGTCCAGCCCACATTTCTCCAGGCCTAAAATTGTTGCTAAATGACATTTGTCTGCACCTCCAACACAAAAGTTTAATAATTACTGGATATGAGAAAAGGGATAAATYTTCTTTYTGAYAGCTGAAAATACTGGTGMTTTTTCATTTGTTTTTTGTTTTYTCCYGCAGAYWTGGCAATCCTGGGAATGGACATCGAGGTACAGACAGTGGAGGACAATGTCATCAGCCTGGAGATGCTGTTCAAAACGTGGCTCCATGACCACGGCACTGAGAGGGAACAGCTCCACCTCCTCCTTCCCTCAGGAAGCTTTGGCCACGCTGCTGCACCCAAGAACACCTTAAGTATTTCATTTTCTCTTCCCTCTGCTCCCCTTCAGGGAGCTCCTGAATCCCTCAGYGTTAAAAGTTACCCAGGATTGTCCTGTGGGCATCTTCTCTCCCATTTAGAGACCCAAGTGGGGTCTGTGGATAACATGGAAAGTCATCAGGTTTATAAAGCTGCTGTTTTGCTGTCATGGCTGCTTTGAGGCTGCAATAGTTTCCATTCTGCAGCAAAACTGTGCCTGGAGGGCCACAGTGTGAATTTATGGCCATGTGGTCAAGGTAAAAAGGAGTCTTTTAGATCCTGAGAGCTGAATAGCCCTAAAAATTGTGTTCAAAACAAAGAGTCTGTGCCAGAGCTGCACTGAAATGAAGGCTGTCTTGCAGAGGGACTTGAGGACAAGTTGTTGCCTTGTGTCAGGCTTTAGTCCTTTTCACTCAGCAGTTGCTATAAAACATTAATTTGTAAGTGCTTTGAGGATGTTATGTGCTAAACTTCACTAATTCCAGTGAACTAAACCCTTCTCCTTCTCCCAGTGTGCCTGAAGTGTGATTTGCAGGAGAGGCTGCTGGACCCAGCCCAGCTTTTGGGGCCAGCTGAAGGCACTGGGAGAGCAGCAGATCCCAATTGTCCCTGGCACCTGGCAGCCTGGCCACCCCCAGCACTGCACAAACTCCGGGTGATCAAGTGAGTGTTGTTCTGTGCCTTCCACTGGGGAGCTGGGAAAAGGTGGAAAAGCAGCTTCATCTTCTTGTGCAACACCATCCTGGGGCCTGGTGACATCACCAGGAGGTATTGGGGAACTCAAAGTGCTGGTGAGCCAAATTCTGGTGTGAAAAAACACAATTTTTGCTCACTTGGAACAGCAGTCACACGTGGTGTCACCATGGCACTCTGTGAGTGTGGCACCATGGGTGTCACTCATGCAGCAGTTCTTTATCCCAGGGAAAAGTTCTCTTGCAATAATTCTGCTCCCTCACTCCCTAATGAGGCCACAGCAATTAACTGCGTGCCAGAGCCTCGGCTAATTAGTTGGACTAGTAGTAAAAAAAGCAAGCAAAGCCTCAGAGTGCTGTGCTTTCACTAGGAATGTACTCACTTCCCTGGCAGCAGYTCGTGGCACAGGGCACAGCATAAAAACACTCTCTGGTGTCTTTTCTGAAATTTATTTATAGGAAAACCAGTGTGATTTCTGAGCTGAGCAGTTGTTCTTACAAAGATTTCCACCCTGTGGTAAATCTGGCAATGGCTGAAGAGACTCACACAAACTCTGTCCTTGCAGGGCTCTGAAGTCTGAAGGGGTCTGTGAGTCTGTACTCTAYGGGCTGCCCTTCATCATCAAGCCCACGAGCTGCTGGCAGCTGGACTGGGATGAACTGGAGACAAACCAGCACAGCTTCCATGCTCTGTGTCACAGCCTCCTGGTGAGTGTGTGAAAATTGCAGTGGGATGGGGAGGGATGGCCAGGGAAGGGAACAGTGAGTGCACACCTCSTAACATCTGTCTGGCCTGCACTAGGAAACATTTCCAGAGTTGGCCTTGTAAATCCTTCCAGCCAAGGCATCTGCTGGAAAGATGCTACAGSACATCAGATTGCAGAGAAAACCCTCAAACATATCAGAATTTCAGTGTTTGGGTGTGTGAAGTGCAAATGTCAGGGCTGGAGTTAGACTTGGTGACTTTAAATGCAAAAATAATTCACCAAGGCTTGGACTGTGAAGGACTGGCCATTACTGACAAGCTGTGAAGCAAAATTGGGTGTTTTTCTTAGGAACTGACTTGCTAAAAACCAAAATAAATGCCAACTGTCCTCAGCCCTACAGCAGAATAGTGTCCTCCTTCTGATATGTGTGTCTCCTCTGAGCCCCATGGTGACAGTGCTGAAGGAAGTGGCTGTTGCCTGYTGTTCACACCAGGATTTTGCCCTTTAGAAAAGGAAGTGGATGCTGCTGGCCAGGGGGGAGCCCCAGAACGCTGCTCCAAACTGGAACGTCGTGGTGCATCCCTATTACATCATCATCCCCTCCGACTCGGCCACTCTGCTGGTCAAAGCAGTGGCCATCAGAGAGCTCCTGCTGCCATCAGCCTTCCCAGCMCTGCTGGCTGAGCACCCCGAGAGAGTCCGGGGCCCCATCGAGGTGAGTCACTCGTTATCAGTCACTYGTTATCAGCTCTCATTATCACCTCGAGAGAAGGAAATGGCTGTGACAATGTCTGGTGACAGCCGGAATGTGACAGAGCACCCCAAAACTCTYTACCAGCAGACATTGTATCCTACAGCTTTCTTCATGGACAACAAATCCCTGTTCTTTGGAGGAGTTTGGGGGGAGAAGCCTTGTGAAACAGAGTTGAGGGTGATTCTCAACTTCAACCCAGGTTGAGTTCTGGGCAGGGCAAAGGATAGGGCTGCATCCTGCAAGGGAATGTTAAATACATTAAAATTTCTTAGCAGTTGCCTCTTGTTTTATACAGGGATAGCAGCACAGCCAAAAATCCCTTTACCCTTCACTGCAGAGTGGCTTAGAGAGTCTGCAATGCTATCCCTGAAAAAAGAAACCAAAAACCCACAAACATGCAAACCCCACAGCCCCTACCTGTCACATCCCGTAGCAAACTCAGTCCTTTCTTTTGAGCAGAGCGCCCTGAACAACTTGGAAGTGGAAGTTGCTTACAACCCCTTGCACCTGAAGAGCAACCTCTACAAACACCTGAAGAGCTCTTTGTACAAACCCCCGCAGCGGCAGCAGCCCCAGCCCCGGGAGCTGCGCCCGGAGCGGCAGCACCAGCCCAGGCAGGTGAGTCCCTGTGTGTGTGACCATCCTGGACAGGGTTTGCTGTCCCCTCCTGGTCCCATTCCTGCAGGATGTGCCCTCCTGTGCTCCCTGTGGCCAGCAGGGCTGGGTGTAGCACCAGCAAGGCGAGGCACAGCCAAATCCTGCAAGGATTTGTGTTTTGTCCCTGTCTTGCAGCCTCCGAGCAGAGCCAAAGCTGCAGTGGCTCCYCTGCTGATGGCTCCCTCTCCCCTCCAAACGTTCAGACCAGCAGCAGCAGCCAGGAGAGGCTCCTGCGAGGGCTCCCTGCTCCCCAAGGAGTACGAGGAGTTCCTGCAGTGAGCACCAGGAGCTGCCCCCGTGCAGCCACAGCTCCGGGCTCAGCTGCAGAGGGCCGGATGTGGTCAGGCAAGACACCGAGCTTGGCCTTGGTCAGACAGGCACTTCCCATCGTTTGTTCCTCCTCGTTGTTGTTTCACGGTTGTGTTCGTCACCRAGCCAGTTCTGCAGGAAGTTTGCTGCTCTGGGACCCTCTGTCCYGAGATCCAGCTGTCCCCTGCAGCAGCAGCACCGCGAATTTCCTGTTCTTGGCGGCACACGTCACCAGCCTGCCTGAAATTTGGGTTTCTCAGAGTGGCCTAGCAGGGGCCACAAGCCACAGACTGCTGTCAGTGGGAAGAGAAGAGCTGCAGGCAGGGCAGGGAGGAAATCAGACAGACRAGGAAGGCAGCAGTGCTGAGCTGCCCTCATCCCACAGCAGCAGGTTCAGTGGGGTGTTTGAATAAAGATGAAACAGGRCTCTGGAATTTCATCTTAAAGCCTGGAGTTCTGCTCTCCCAGGTGRTTTGGTTGCTTCCCAGGTTGACCTCGCTGTCCAACACCCCAGCTCATGAAGGGAGTTGTAGCAAGGGCCAAGCCAGGGCAATTCCAGAGAATTCCTGCCCAGATTCCAGCCTGGTTTTCAGTGCAGGTTGTAGGGYCAGGGGCAGATCAACCAAGCCAAGGTGGGGTGATCTCACTGACACCCTGATGCCAGCACAGTTTGTGTTCTACTTACTGGTTCTGAAAGCTGTTTCAAAATAAAGTTATCCTGCATTAAGTTCCCTTTCTGCCTGTGGTTTCTGACATGTCCAGCACTGCTATCCCACCATGATTTGTGCTTCAACAGCTGCAACAGAGCAAGGGCATGAGGGATCTCATCAGAGCCATCTCTTCTCCCTGGGATCCCAGGARCACACAAAGGGCCCAGCCTGGGGCCTGCAAACCAGTCAACAACATAAACATCACAAAATCGTGTCAGGGGAGGGGATAACAGGGAGGCAACAGTTTTTGGAACCATCTCAGCCTCCCTCAAATTCCCAAAACCCCTCAGACTTTTCCCCTTCTCCGGCAGCAAGACTCAAGGGGAGAAGAGGACCCAGCAGAGGGAACAGCCACAAACTGGTCCTGGTGACAGCTRAGCTGTGTTTTTACAGGACTGAGGATTTTCTCCTGCAACTTGGGCACCAGAGAAATGCCCAGAGCTCATCACTTCATCACCATCTCACCAGCTTGGGGACCTGAACCTCCCCACTTCCCCAGCGGTTTGTGGCTCCCTGATCTGAGCTGGGGCTGCACAGGTACAGCCCTGCCTGTCACCCGCCTGTTCTGTCAGTGTCAGGCTGCTGAACCTGCACCAGTCACCAGCAGCCCCATCCAGACGTGGGGGCAGGCAGTGTCAGGGATGTGAAACCTCAAAACCAGCCCCAGCACCAAAAGGCCAACCTGTTTTTYCCCTTCGTAGGTTTCTGCCCAAGGCTGGCCATACAGCAATCACCMAAACCACACAGCAGGAATCAGATTTTGGATCCAGACTGGGCCATTCCAGGCTTTTGAAAGCGTCTGGGAGCAGGGCAGAGGGTCAGCAGTGGGATGGGGCTGGAGAAGGAGAAATCTGTGACTCAACAGCCACTGAGCTGCAGCAGAGCTGGYGCCTGGCCCTGCCCAGCCTTAGGCCTGGAGGCCATCACATATTTAGGATCCTGACTCTCATTTCCCTTAATCCCCTGGAATCAGGACATCCCAGCCATAGCTGAATCTGGCAGGCACTTTCCTTTGAGGCTCTCTCTTAGCTCAGTAGCTCTGGCACAAACGTGCACCAGCATCTCCCCATCCACGCCACAGGCAAACGTGTCATTCTGAGACAGACAGACTTTAATAATAAAATAACTTTGTATAAAAATACTATTGGAGACTGACGGCAAGCAGCCTTCCATGCACCACAACAGGCACCAGAGCTCTGCAGCCTGGTCAGAGAGGAAGCCAGAGCAGAGCCAGAGCAGCAGATACAGGAAAAGATCAGCCCTCCTGCAGAACACAAGGCACAGTGGAGCCAGCTCCAGAGCTGGAGAAACACTGGGATCTGCACCAGCGACAGCTCTCTTGCTGTTCCCCTCCAGGGGAACACAGCCCCTCGGTGCTGGTGAGCAAAAACAACCACACAACCCTGGAGAGGAGGAGCCYAGCTGGCACCAGGATGTTCAGTCCCTCCTGSGATACRGACACACAAAGCAGCAGCACCTCAWATCTCTCCCAARTCCTCATAGAGAGGCGACAAGCTGTACTCATCCACACACTGCTCCTTCTTCTGCAGCGCCTGGGGCTTCACCACCTGGCTGTAGAGCACYTCCACGTTGTTGTTGTTGCTGCTGTTGAGGCCGGGTTTGGCGAGCGCTTTCTCAGGGGCAGCGCTGCTCCGCCGCCTGCCAGGATCCTCCATCCTCTCCACCCCTTTGGGGATGAAGGCAGCCTGGGGTTTGGGGGCTGGCACYGGCTTGGGGCTCTTGGCCTTGGGCTGGAAGGTGGGTACGGAGTAGTCGTCAGTGCTGGCGTTGTAGGGGTACTCATAGCCGCCCTTGCCATCATGGCCCTGCGTGCGCCAGGCCTCGCCCGTGGGCCGCGCCTCGTCGTAGATGCAGGTGAGGGCGGGCAGCGAGCGCGGAGCGCGGCCCTCGGGCTCGTCGTAGATGTGTTCCTTGTGCCTGGGGGGACCCTGAGAGCGCCCCTCGGCCCGGCCCTGCCCCTCAGCCCGGACCTGCTCGTACGGGCCCGAGAACGGCGGCACCGGCAGCCGCAGCTTCGGCTCCTCCGCGGCCCCGCCGGGCGCCTTGGCCCCGCTCACGGCCTTGCTGTCCACAGGGTCCGAGTACAGCGGGTCYGGCCACGGCCGCGGGCCCTTCACGGCGTCCAAGGGCTCCGAGTACACGCTGGACGGGTCCTCAGCCAGCAGCACGGGCCGCGGCACCTTGGGCAGAGGGGAGCGTGGCGGGGTGCTGGGCACCGCGGGCTTGGCCGGGGGCACGGGCAGCTCCGGCAGAGTCCGGCTCTTGAGCAGAGACGCGGCGTCTCTCTCCTCTGCTGTGCCAGCCCTGGGTGCCAGCCCCGCTTTGGGTGCCGGGGCGTCGTCGCCCTCAGCGGGCAGCTCCAGGCTCAGGCTGTCGGCCATGGCCTGGCGGAGCAGCACCATGCTGGGGCTGTCGGCTTCCAGMGAGTCGCAGCTCTGCCGGTTCTCCTGCACCTGCGCCTTCTGCTCCTGGATGGACGCTTCCACCAGGCGGAARATCTCGTTGCCCTGCTTGGTCTCGAAGGTGAAGTTCCCAGGTCCCGAGTCGCAGCGCCTGCCGGCCTCGAAGGAGAACATCACCTGAAGGGGAAGCAGAAGGGTCACATCCTGCTCGGCAGCCGCTGAGCCAGCACAGGCTGTGCTTCCCATCAAAGGGTGTGTGACCGCAGCACAGATCCTGCACACGCTGCGAGACTGCCATGAAATCCTGCTCCTTCTGCTCCCACAGTGAGGGCCACCYGGTGCCCAGCAGCCCAGAACAAACSTGGCACTGGAGCCCACCTGAGGGACAWCACTGGGAGTGCCCCAGAGGCAGAACTGCAGCTCCCAATGGAGCTCTGCTGCCTTGCATTAGCACCAGAGAGTCCAGGAAATAACACTTTCCACAGGAGGAAGCCCAGAAGCAGCAGCTCAGCTACCAAGAGTAAGCAAAGCATTTACCTAWCAGCAGTACTCTGTTAGTGGGGTAAGGTCCTTTAAAGAGGAGTCTCACACTACAGCTGTGCTTCCTCAGGCCTGAACACACTCTGGTGCACAGGGTCCCACCAGCTGATGCCCACACCCTTCCTGAGCCTCATTCCCTGGACCAGGGGGGATTTTCTGCCTCTCTCACAAGCAGCAGCAGCCCCTGGGGYTGCTACAAAAGCCTCTGGGACCAGACTTCCTTTTGTGAGTCAGTGCTGGCACACAGAAGCACAGTCAGCCCCTCTGCTGGGGTCATTGTGCAGCCCCCCACACCCTGCAGCTCCTCCTGCCCCAGCACAGACTCTGTGGATGTCCCCTCAAGGGCAGCTCAGCTCCCACCTCCACTTTGGGAATGTGCAGAAAACACCATGAGCAGAGTACAGCCAACGTGGCAACTGCTGTAAACAGCCCCAGGGCCACCACTAAAGAACCTCAGAGCTGCCACTTCCTCCATATCCAGGTGGCCTCTCAGACATCTCACACTCGGTAGCAGCAAGGCACCCCCCTCACTGAGAGGGGACTCACTGCTTGAGGACCCTGGAGAGGGGACAGACCTCCAAAGCTCAGCCAAGTTCACCCCACAAAGTGAACAAATCCTGAGTGACTGGTGTGTCCAAGCCCCTCTGATCCAGCCATCATCCTTAGGAGGGATGGACTRAACCCCATTGCCCACCTTGTCCCGGCCGTATCGCCGGAGCAGCCGGTAGGGCCAGACGTAGAGGATCCCGTCCGTCCGTGGGTCCTTCAGGACGAGGCTGTCCCGCTCTGCCTTCAGCACGTAGGAGCCACGCAGCTCGCAGCGCTCGGCCGCCTCCGTCCGCTGCACCGTCACCCAGAAGGCGTTCACTGTGGGGACAGGGCTGCTCAGGGTGTGGGGACACAGATCCACTGTGGGGACAGGGCTGCTCAGGGTATGGGGGACACATGGCCCCACTGCGGGGACAGGGACACACAGCCCCACTGCAGGGACAGGGCCGCTCAGGGTATGGGGACACAGCCTCACTGTGGGGACAGGGCTGCACAGGGCACGGGGACACACAGCCCCACTGCGGGGCAGAGGGACACCCAGCCCCAGGCAATGCCCAGCACAGCCCCGCTGATGGGGCAGCAGCAGGTCAAGGCCCCACAGAAGGTGGCCCCAAGTCAGGCCAAGGCCCCACAGAAGGTGGCCCCAAGTCAGGCCAAGGCCCCACAGAAGGTGGCCCCAAGTCAGGCCAAGGCCCCACAGAAGGTGGCCCCGAGTCAGAGCAGGGACAGGTCCCACCTTCATCTCTGGAGTAGTAGATGGAGTTCACAGCCATCTCCAGGGCCGGCGCGTCCCCACTGCCCTCTCGGCCACGCGGTGACACCACGCCATCGCTGGGGCCATTTCCCTGGTGAAAGAGAGCAGATCAGCCCCATTYTCCTCTTCCCATATCAGACCCCGCATCCCCTTGCACAGCCCGGCGCCTGCTGCCCACCCCAGCCCCACTCAGCCTGGCTGTCCTGCACCCTGCCCACCCCAAAACCACTGACAGAGCCCCATAACCCCACACACCCAGGATGAACAGGGTCAGGCAGCGCAGAGGGGCTTCCCTGAGCTCCTGGAGCACCCTGGCCCCAGCTGGGTTCTGCCTGGACAGGGTGCAGGGCAGCACAACCCACAGAGCTGCCCCCAAAGCATGGCACAGCCCAAACACCCACACCCACCCGCACAAACATGGGGGGTTGGTGGCCTGGTGACACGGGGGTGTGTCCTGTCCTGSCCAGGAGGAGAGGGACCTGCCGAGGGGAAGCGAGTGCTTCTATTTTAGCACATGCAGAACTGAAAGTGCAACGCACACACTGTCAGCAAAGCCCTCAAATGGCCCAGAGCAGGGACACAAAACCTTGGTGCTCCTCCAGAAATTACAAATTACAAACTCACAGAGCCCTGTGCAGCTGGCCAAGGGAGGGGCAGTGTGTGGCCAGCATCTGGAGCTGTTCTTGGGGCTGCAGCAGAGGCAACTGCCACAGTTTCAGTTTGAAAGATTCGTAACAAGAAGYGCAAGCAAGGCACAAAAAAGGGTCATCCAGCCCTTGTGTTTGGGTCCTAAAACCTCGTGTTCTGAAAGCTGACAGCAGCAGCACCTCCTCAGTTAAACCATCCAATGCAGCAGGGCTCCAGCCTGGCACTGGAAAGCCAAGGGCCACCACAGCTGCCAGAGCCTTCAAGGGATCCATTTGACTGTGCTTTTCCTCATTTTCAAAAGGAAAAACCATCCCGTTCTGAGCTACAAATGATCTCTGGCCCCAAGCTGCCAGACCCTGCTTACCCTCTGGGCAGCAACATGACACAAAATCACATTCTCCCYGCAGATGATCAGCAATCCCAGCTGAAGTTCTCCAGCTCTGTGCAGAGAGGCCACGTGCAGCTCTYGTGCCTCCTGCTCCAGGTCAGGCCTTTTTCAAACACTTGTCAGCCTTGTAGGCTTTTGCTCACAAAATGTCAGCTTGTTTCTGGACCCCAGACACACAAATGATGGGGTCCCATGTGAGGATGGCACAAGCACAGCCCTGCTCCAAGCCTGGCCACTACTCTGCCCCACTCYAAGGGTGTTCTGTGCCCCCAGCTCGGCCATACAAGCTCTTTTCAGGGCAAAAGCTGCAATTCCAGCTGCACCAGGCTGACACAGAGTCATTTCCAGCACCACACCAGTGCCTCTCAGCCCAGCCAGCTGCACAGACACACCTGGCATGGCAGGAGGCTGCACGAGGGACAAAGGTAAATCACACTCAGCAAACACCCGTGGGGGGAGATCCTGGGATCACCAGCTGCCAGGCAGCCCTRCCCAGCACTGCAAGCCTGGAATGGGCTGGAGCCCAACCCAGGGCTCRGCAAACACCACCCAGGACTGTGGGGCTGGGCAGGCACAGGCTGCTCTCCCAGAGGGCACAGAAAACCACACTGAGGGCACCCACTGCCCAAACAGCCTCGGCTGGTCACTCTGGCTGACCACAGCTCCAGGGGCTGTGCCAGAGGCCCAGCATAGATGGGGTGACCCCAGCAGCAGCCAGGAGTGAGCCCCAGTGGGGGAAAGGGGGTTCCAGATCCTGGAAYCAGATGGGTCCTGGAGCCAGGCACCACAACGCTCTCGAGGCTCTGCTTCCGCCGCTGCTGCTGTGGCAGGAAAGGCAGCAATGGTTGGGCCAAGAGGAAACACTCCTCGGCCATCACCTGGCCTCAGGCCAGCTCTCTGCAGGGCAGAGCACAAGCTCTGAACGGGAAACAAGAGCCCGACTTGAAATTTGGAGCTGCAACCATGAATTACTGACAGCACATTGAGGAATCCTAAAACACACAGCAGGAGCCATCGAGAGCAAACCGGAGTGCCAGGACTGGTTGCTCCGAATCTGAGACCACTGGCAATGCCTCAGGGTGTCCTTCCCGGTGCCACCAGATGGGAATGGGTCACCCCACACAGACACACACTGATGTCCGAGCTGCCGGCTCCCTGCACCCCCCCACCCACACCGGGGCTCACCGGGAAGGCGATCTGGCACAGCTTCGCCACCCACTCTTCACTCTGCTGCTTCTCGGCCGCGAAGAGGAAGCTGCGGTCGCGGGTCTCCAGGCGGAAGGTGGCGGTGCCGGCGCGGGGACCARCCTCGCCCACCGGGGCCACGCTGGTGCAGTCGCTGAGCCGCACCACGGTACGGGCGAGCCGCCGGGTACCCGCCCGCCCGGCCGCCGACGGCTCCTTGCAGTCGAACACCTCGAGGCGAGCCACGCCGTGCTGGCTGGCGGGGTAGAGAGCGGACCAGCCGCGCTTCCAGCGCTGCGGAGAGCGGGGTCACACCGGGTTGGGGTCACACCGAGCCGGGGTCACACCGCGCCCGGATCACACCGAGGCGGGGTCACATCGTGCCCGGGTCACACCGCGCCCGGGTCACACCGAGCCGGGGTCACACCGTGCCGGGGTCACACCGTGCCGGGGTCACACCGCGCCCGGATCACACCGAGGCGGGGTCACATCGTGCCCGGGTCACACCGTGCCCGGGTCACACCGCGCCCGGGTCACACCGAGCCGGGGTCACACCGGGCCGGGGTCACACCGAGCCGGGGTCACACCGTGCCGGGGTCACACCGAGCCGGGGTCACACCGAGCCCGGGTCACACCGTGCCCGGGTCACACCGAGCC